TAGGTCAGGCGTGTGTGGGGGCCATTCAATGTTATCAATTCCTTCATCCTCCAGGAACTGCCCGAATACTCTCGCCATATGAGGCCGGGCATTGTCGTGCACCAGGAGGAACCCAGGACCCACTACACCAGAGTAAGGTCTGACAATGTGTCCAAAGATTTCATCCCAATACCTAATAGCAGTCAGCGTGCCATTGTCTAGCATGTAGGAGGTCTGCATGTCCCTCCATGGATATGCCTCCTCAGACCATCACTGATCCACCACCAAAACGGTCATGCTGAACGATGTTACAGGCAGAATAATATTCTCCACAGCTTCTCCAGACCCTTTCACGTCTGTCACATGCTCAGGGTGAAAATGTCAGTGGCCTCCACCTGTAAAACCATTCCTGTTTTAGGGGTCGTCTCATTGTTGCCCATCTAGTACATCTGTTAAATTCATTAACACCAAAGAGGCTGATACTGATTAACAACCCCCCTTCTGCTACTTAACTGACCAGATCAATATCCCAGGAGTTTAACTGACTTGGTGCTATACCCTGATTAAAAAGTGTTCCTTTAATTTTTTGAGCAGTGTACTTACCTGTTTTCAGACTGTTCTGGTCTGGTCACACAATCTGGCTCTCCTCTGTCAGCCAGAGCAGCTGCAGGGAAGAGGAGGCAGCCCAAATAATGGATGGGTCATTGAAGCCTATGTGTGACGTTATCATTCCAGGCTTTACTAGCCATTGTCTGAGTGCTCCCTCCTGTTCCCTGCAACTGCCACTGGCTGACACAGGGGAGATCATTGCAACGGGCCAGAGCAGCCTGAATATAGGTAAGTATATATATCTTTTTTTAACACAGGTTAGCTAGCATAGATATTAGGAGAGGGGTAGGGACGGTTTAAAAACTAGTTAGGTGTAAGCTAGAATTCCTCTTTAAATGTGCTTGTAAATAGCAATGTCTGTTTTTGTTATACCCTCATGTAATCCCATGCACATTTAGCATTCAATTGGGACAGACAGTGGGGTCACTATAAACGTATCAGGCTCTATTATATTGTACTACTCTGCATCTAACAGACAGAAGTCTGCTGCCTGGAGAAGAGAACACCTACAGTATATGACCTGTGTAGTGAGCTGCTGTTCCTTTATTCAGTAACAATCACGAACAAACTGTATTGTTTGGTTACAGTGCAGAAAAGTAAATGGTCAGGACCAGGGGTGGAATGACAACTCATGGGGCCCCCGGGCAATAGAAGATTATGGGTCCGCTGTGTCCTTGCCCGCACTTAAACCACACCCAAAAAAGCCTATGAAAGGTACCAGGGGCATCTCATGGGGCCCCCTACTGACCCCGGGCCCTCGGGCAGTGCCAGAGTTCCCAAATGGTCAGTCCGCCCCTGGTCAGGACCGGTCTATGGTGTCCAACAGGGGTATTTATCCTGCATCTGTATAATCACTCCTAAATGTTTACAATAACACAGTCACTAGCTATAATGGTTCTCCCAGTTTCAGCTTAATACAGAAGAGACACCTACCCCATACTATTCAATTCTCCTATATCCTTGTGCTGCTGGTCTTTGTTAGAGAGCTATAGAGCGACTGTGAAGAGATCTAGTTTCTTACTCTATTACTGTCCTTGTTTTTACACAAAAGCGGTAGGAACACTGAAGAAGCCCTTGGTGTGTGATAACGTGACTATTCACTGCTTGACTTCACATACACATGCCTTCAGCAAATTCCCCAACCTACTTTTCACATCCCGCTGGTATAGGACCTTGCTGCTTAAGCTGGCCATACACAGTTTGACTTTCATTTGAACATTCATAGAAAAATCATTTGCCAGAACATTCTTTCTTGCCATCACTGAGTCAACTAATCTTTCAAAAGCTCCTAAAGTTTCACCCAGACCTGCTGTTTGAATTGATTCTCAGGCATATTAAACAGGAATTCTTTCCTGAACGAAAACCACATTCACAGTTAGGCGTCATTCACAACAGTTGCACAGACACAGCCGCTGCTCCCAATTTGACATCTGTATGGGTGCGGGTACCGGAGCTCACACAGTGTGTGTTCAAGGACATGCACCCTCACCCACAAGGTGTAGCCACTGTGTGCAGAGTGACATCAATGGGACTGCCTGCGTGGAATGCACGAAACCCCTGTGCATCCCTGGGCAGGTAAACATAACCCTCACATGGGGTATGCATTGATACGCCCCATGTGAACCAGGCCTTAGCATTTTGTTCATTTTCCATCCTGCTCCTTCAAATTTTCTTGTCACTGTGATCACTTTGACCACACGGATCTTCTACTGGTGTATAGACCATTCCTAATGGTCCCTAATCATCAGGGGGCAGCAATAGTAATGTGTAGGGGGTGGGTCTAATTGAAGTGCCTGTGTTTGGCTGTGGCAGCAAAGTTTGGGAGACTGCTTAAGTTTTGTGCAGGTACCTCTGTCGGCATTTTATACCTGCAGCAGTTTTTTTTCGTGGACAAAATCTTGCAAGGCTATCTCAAAAAACAAATTATTCTGAGTCTCATGCTGGGTACACATCAGATTTTTTTTCGTTCAACCCAGCGGCTGAACAAAAAAAAAGCTGAAGAGCTCAAAAGGTGTTCGCTGTACTAACTGTCCAATGTTAGTGCAGAGATCTCCCTGCTGAGCTATTGTGTTCTGACAGGGGGACTGCCCCCACCACACCGGTTAGCGATGGCAGCAATTGGCCAGCTTCTGTTGGACAAGTGGGTGTACACAGCTCAAATGTCAGCCGGTTTCTATTGAACAAGTCGATACCGGCCAATATTCTGCCCGTGTGTACAGGGCTTAAGGCAAAAATGAAGAGGTTATGTTTTAGTCAAATATCAATTAGTAAGTATGAAAAAAGAGGAGATTCTGTCAGTTTGTATAAAATTAACAGTCAGCAGCAACAAATACTGCAGCTGCTGACTTTTAATAAAAGGACACTTACCTGTTAAGGAATTCAGCATGGTTCTCAACCGATCTGGTTCTTTACTGATCTTCAGGTTCCCGGTTTACCAAGTTTTCTGTGGTAAGTCGGCTAAGATTCCTTGTGGCTTCACAGCCTGCACTCCATTGCGCATGCAGTCCCACATCTTCCTAGGAACTGTTCCGTGTCCCATGAGGTTGCAACATTTATAATGGGGGGGGGCACAGGGAGAACTTCTGCTCTGATCGCACAGGCAGTTCGAGCGGAAGTGGGGAGTGGGTACTTCTCAAAACTAGGTACCCATTCAAAACAGAAAAACATTCTAAATAATTAGAGAAGGGGGGAGGAGTAAGAAAAGTTGAACTTCCTCTTTTTGGTGAAGTTCCGCTTCAACTCCTTGCACATGGAAAATGCGCCATATGAGAAATTTCAGGGCTGCCAATGATAAGCTCCTTTTGAAAATGCAAAGTCCCTGGCTGTCTCTGGCCTCAATTATTTAGAGCCACTGACTTGAAGTATACAGATCAGCAGTTCCTAATTCATATCGTGCTTGTTGAACACCAATGTCTCTGAAAGCACTGAATCCAGACACAGCCAAGAATTTTCTAGCACTCCAGGAAGAAGTCGGTATATACTTAATAACAAATGTCCTTTAAATGTCATTTTAATCAAGTAAATTCAGAAAAACATTTTGGTCTTTATTTGCAATAGGTTAGGTAAATTTATGTAGTCACTCTTTTCAGGACAGGTCCAATAAGAAAGATCTCGTATGTTCTTTTAAATCGTGTTTCAGGCGAGTGAAGAAATGCATGTAAATGATCTATTTCTGTTACGCTCAATAACGTTCCACTTACTTGTTCCAACATGTAAAAAAAATGTATGCAACTGATACGACGAGTGTTTAACTAGTTGGAACTATAGCTAAAAAGCCATACCTTACATATAGTCGGGCCATGACCTATACAAGTCAAATATACTTGCTGTCTCTTATTTACTTCTCTCTAAAATCTGGGCTGTGAATTATGAGTAAAGCAGACAAAAGTCACTTCTCCTTTCACTGTATCTTATCAGCATGACACAGAATGCTGGAAGTCTTTTATAAAAATGCTTTCTTCAGTGTTCCCACAATTTTTGTAATGTGACCTGCTTAAATTAAAGCTGAACCCCAGGCATATATAGAGTAAACAACACAAATCAATGTATCTATGTAGTTATTAATGAAGCATTACAATTATTTTTTAATTGCAGATAGTATAGATATCTAACTATGACTTGGTATTCTCAGACTAGGAAAGAAGGGCTAAGAACCTATTATAAGAGAAGAGATCAGAGCGAGTAGTGGGATTGCTGTATCAATCTTGTGCTGCTCATTCACTGTCCATTCAGTAGGTGGAGGGGCATGAAGATACCGTTGTATTTCTTAAAGTAAATGGTATTATCCACCTGGCCGCGTTAGACGGGGGAGCTGTAAATATCAGGATTGGGTGGGCAGAAATACAAATTCATTGGCAGGTAAAGTATACTTAAATGTATTTCATCTCTGTATTTGGCTAGTGTTCAACTTTACAAATTAGGTGCTACAGTACAACTAATAGAGCCTGTGTTAAATATATGATTCTATAATATTAAAGGACAGTAACACCCATCATCGATGTACTTGTTAACACAACATCATCTCAACTGCCTGGGTGGTTTCAGATTTAGCATTCCACACTACTATTACAATAATAGCGGATTCAAACAACATGTAGTTGTCATGCTCCCACTCCAAGAACTAAGTCTACAGGTAGGATTATTTATATTAGAAAAACTGAGCATTTTCCTGATCAAATCTTATTAAAAACAGTGTTCCTATTAACTTTTTTTTTTTCTTTTTACCCTGTCATATATCTTCAGGTTTTCATCATTACTGCCTATGTGTTCCTTTTCAATTCCCTTCCAATATTCTGTCATACAAACATATCATATAAAAAGAAACTAAACGCTTTCAATATTAACAAGTGCATAATTTTACAAATAAAAGTTGAGAAAAAAATGAATTGGAAAAAAATTAAAATGAATTATACCTCGCTCAAGCTTTAGCCGCTGATACAAATGTAGCTGATCAATGGTTACTAAACAAGCAATCTGAAATGCAAAAGGAACAGAGTTATATTAAAAAATCTGTACATATCACATACAAAGAAAAGCTGAACGCCAGGCAATTAGCTAACTGAAATACATATATAGGAACCGATTTCTCTGCTAAAAGATTTCTAGTTCTGTGCAGCAATTTTTGTGACCTAGGTCCTGGGAAGAGATTCTTGTGATCTAGGTTCTGTGTGGAGATTCGTGTTATCTAGCCATTCCTGGCAGACAAAGTCATTTGCTCGATCTCCAAAACCGCAAAAGCACAGCTTGATCATAAAACACACCTCCTGCCTGCTGATTGGACAATGAAGGAGCTGCAGCACACTGGTGAGGTTATCTTTCTGCTCATTCAGCTCTCTCCTCCTGGTAGAATGTTCCCTGTAAGCAGAACAGAGCTTTACTGATTTCTATTGCTGTCTTCCCTCTCCCTGTCTACATCTTGCTGTACAGAAGGTTACAGGAGGTTATCAAGACAGATGGACATACTTCTACTACACTACGCTAATACATTTAATAATTTTTAATGAATGCATGGCAGGCTGCACTGATTGTTTTTTATATATGCCTGGAGTTCAGCTTTGATAGAGGAAAATACATTGCCATAAATATATCATTATCTAAGGAGTGGTTCAAGTGTATTTCTACCACATAGCACATAAATAAAATGATGGTGGTTGTTGTTATGCTTATGCTACAGTGGCATAGTCGTTCATGTATGAATATGAACTCTAAAATATCTGAAATATTTGACTGTGTGTTATTACACATACATGTATGTATATGTCATCACCAAGCTTCCATCAGATAAATAAGAATATTTTAAGCATAGACAAATCAAGTGTTATGTCTGCTTGGAATTAGACATAAAGCATGCAATGTTTTCCTGATATATAATATACTTCATCAGACATCAAAGTATTTTGCAGTGACATACAATTTAAATCAGTCACAAACCAGCCAATTCAAGCTAAGCCCACTATGACTGAATGCACAAACTGAGGTTGACTTCAGTGAAAACCACATGTCAAAGTGATCAGTAGATACAGAGATATAGCCAGCTGACGTTCTGTGCAAATTGTAATTAGCATCAAATCCTGGAAAAGTAAAACATTCATGGCCCCACCTTTCCAGCTTCCATATTGGTCATTGGAACTCCCAAATACATAAGGGCCCATTTACAATGTTGCAGTGTATTATGCCACAGATTAATGTGCCCTGTGTTAGGAAAGATAGCCCACGAACAAAGAACCTCCAGAGCAACATACTCAGAGAGACACTGGGAAATTTTGAATTTGAAAGTGTAATCAGATAAGGGAAAACTTCAACAAGCTCAATAGCTCTGGCAAGAGGACTTCCACACAGCATGGCTTCCCTTGATGGGCCCCCAACAGTCGCTCAAACCATAGAAATTTAAAAAGGAGCACTAGACCACATTGGATAAAAAAGTCATATAAAAATAACCAAATGCACTTTCGGTACATCACCACTCCCCCTTCATCAGGGTTCAACACATGAGCCCTAATGGCTGTTTTTAGATGACAATTAAAATGATCTTGGACTTGTTTATCCAGTTTTGGTCTGGTGCTCCTTTCTGTATTTCTATGCAATGAAAACAATTTGATTAGCTTTGGTTAGGATTTAGGGATGGCCAATGCAGGCCTAGCCTGGCAGAAACAACAAGCACAGGAAAAAAAAAAAAAAAAAAAAAGGAAAAACCCAGAAACTGAATGTGAAGGCAAGAACCATTTATCCATTGCCACTTTGTTAAAACACATCTACAAAAATTAGATGCTTTTTCTAAACATTTTTGTGTTTTGTGTGTGATTTTACAATTATCTGAAAGTCCTCCTCATCTGCTAATTGTGTGTGGGAAGCATGTACCAAATAAACACTAATATAACAAATGTAATTATAACGTAACAAAATGCATGCCTTAAAGTAGAACTATACCTTTCCGCAAAACCCCTACACCCAATACTTTTTTTTTTCAGTTTGGTAAGGGAGGGTTATAACCCCTGTAAGGTTTATTTTTGGCATCTTTGTCCCATTGGGCAGATTTCCCTTCACTTCCTGTCCCAAAGCCAAACAGGAAGTGAGAGGAAATTAAATGCAAATTAGGTAATCCCCAGGTCACCAGAACTAGTGTCCTCTTTGGAACATTTTTCCTCTCTTTTCTGGGGACAACCCAAAATTTGGGATTTTCTTTCACTTTCAATAATAATGGTAAACAGGACTCAGACAGCCGGGGACACATACTGCAATAACAACCCACATGGAAGAAAAATATATTTTAAAAATACTTTAAATATTACCACCCTCAATAATAGTGATCAATAGCGGTGCATTATTTTCTGTCTTCATTGACAGTCCTGCAATGCAAGCAAAATGTGCATAAAATTAAAAACAAAAATATAAAATATATATATATACACACACACACACGTGACTTCAAAATATAGTGAATTCCCAAATATATACACCATAACACAGGTCTGCG